ACTGTCGTCGTAGGTCGCCTGTATTACGAGAGGATCAACTAGTCTGATAAAACTCACGTCCTTTCACCATGCTCAGTCAGCCCTCTCCGCACAGCAGTGCATCGCCCTCCCCCGCCCCGATGATCAATTGTGGATCATCACGGACAGTACTGTCAAAACTCCAAGAATTGGTGCTACCCTGTATGTATCCCGTACTAATAAGCTACAGTTGGCAGGACTTTTAGGAGTGCCAAACTCCGCGGTCTGAGAGTCACCTGGCTCCCTTGCGAAATAGAAGCCTTTATTGCGGCCGGAACTAAACACTTCAGCCCTGAAATCATTCAGTCGAAAACACCAGCTTGCATCCTCAATGACAGTAAACCTCGAGCACAGTCCTTTAAAAAGCTCTGTAGCGGTAAGTTTTCCTTAGGCACTCGTATTGCTACTTTCTTCTCCACCGCCAGTAGATACCAAGCCTCTCTTCTTGATGTTGCTGGAGCCGCAATCTTACCTTCTGACGTCCCAGTCGCAAAGCTACCGAGTGCGACAACCCAACTTGCCAAGTGTGCAGCTTCGTTCAACGCACTGAGGATTTCTTGGTTATCCACGCATCTGTCAAAAGCATACTGCCAGGGACTGCTAAACTTCCTTACATTAGCAGAGCTGTCTAGGTTGCTCTTTAGGAGGAGTGTCCATACCTGCATTGACCCATGTCCATGAGGCACACGCCCATCCAAGAAGTTGAGAAACATTAAAGATGTAAATTGTTCCGATGGCTTACTTGTTTTTAAACGTAATGAACCACTAGTCCCTACCGGAGAGTGTGTTATCGTCCTTCGCCAAATCCTCGAAGGTCTCTTGTCTGTTTTACAAGTCCACCTCAGCCACCCTTCCAGCCACCAACTGAAGATGGTCACCCAGCTATATCTTTTTGCCTTCTATCTGGATAACGCCATTGATTGCGTCACTAATAGCAATTATCCCTGCACTTCACTCGGCACAGTTCGAATTCCCACTACTGTAGCACAGCAGTCGACCAATCTACCACCTGAAACTGTGGGTATCTCCTTCGCCGCTAACGTCATTTAACGACTCAAACAGTTTATATTGTCTATGCGTGAATGCCTCACTTCCTATAAGGTATCAAACCTCCTACCTAACGAGCGCCACGACACGCCACGGGACGCCCTGTGTTTTGAAATGCAACCATTGGACGGTCCCCTTGCTCTAATATCCTTGCTGACCCTACCCCTTGTTTCGGGCCCTCGACAACGACCCACTCTTTCACGATCACAGAATTATTCTCGAAATCGGCAGAGTTAAGAATCGAAACAAGAACCCTGTTGAGGAAAGAGCTCTCCAAGAACTTGAACTTGAGCTCTTTTGACTGGATCCCCAGGGTGGACCAGTCTCCCCTGTTGCGCTGTCTGTCTCACCCGCCACCCTGAACGCAAGAATTGGAACTAGTGGATCGGCAGCTTGTAAAATGTGGACGTAGCGCGGTCAGTTTTCAAACATCCAGATTCTACTAAGCGACTATGTCCAAAGCCCCCCTAGCCCAAGCGGCCAGAAGCCTCTTAATCGCCATTGGTGACCTGGTGTATCTCCGATCTATTGTGACCAAAACAAATTGGGTGGGAGAGATCTCTACCTAGTTACGTCCATCGATGGTGCTTTGTGCCAGGTTAGAAAGTTCTTTGATTCACAGTTGCGGAGTAAAACCTATGGAATTAAGAAGGTTGAGTGCTACAAAGTATTCATGGACGCTTAACCTTCCCTGACACATCGGCATTAAGGCAACCTCCTTGCCTTCAACCTCGCTACCACAGTTACCGACAGCTCCCCCCACACCCACATCTCAACTGTACCATACCACAGAAGATGCGTTACCTCCACCCACAACACCATCGGTGCCTGCTGGTCGTTCTACACTCTTCCTTCTCGTCCAGATACAGATACCAACCTTAAATCCTTACCGTCGCCATGCAGCCAGCCAGGCCAAGACGTCTTACCCTAACGACCAACACACACTTCCCGCACTCCACAATACCTAGAGGACTGTGAATCGTATTAGAAAAGAGAAAAGCTGAACTTGGAGAGAAAGCAGTAATTTTGAAACTGCTGTGCTTGCCTGCATGGTAAAGCAAAAATCTGGACCATTCTCACGCGTAGGCGGAGATGATTGACTGATTGATAAGGTTAACCCGCGTTAACCTACCTCGCGAGGTGGTTTAAAAAACCTTACCTGGTTAAGAAAATCTATTTGTTCTTGCTTGATTTGCATAACCGGGCTAGAACTCGGTTAAGACTGTAGAAAACTCGGTCGCACTCGCAGTCTTTTTTTTTAAACGAGTCAACTTTAATTAGTTAATTGGAAATAACTAGGTTAAGTCCCCAAGTGTGGCCGCAGCCATTATTAGTTGTGTTGCTTTATTGTATTGACTATAGTGAGCCGCGCTCACCTAGGTAAGCGGACTCTGTCTTTACCCAGACTCCTTTGCTCTGTGGACGTTGTTCTTGTCGATACTTGTCCGCAACCGCTTGCCCGCCATTTCGATCCGATCGTGTTTTGTTGTTTCTACTTACCTTGGGGACTGGCTGAAAGCAAACGTAAAATGGATTTTTTACCCTTTAAGTCCCAATATCAACATTCATATCCTTGACACTGTTCTTAATCCATTTTTTATGATACTGCCTAAGGTAATTAGTTCAATTTGAATTTGTTGGGGCAACTAATAATTATTTCAGCTATACGGTATAATGTTTTCCTTAATTGGCCATTATAGAAATTGGAGTTACTTTCTGACAAATTGGCCACATCATTTCGGGTATAACGGTATATTGAGATCTCATGGCCAATTCTACAAGTTTCACGTAAACCACTTTAGAAAAATTTGAGAAGTGATTGTTTTTCTTCTGCTTTGTTTCACATACAGGACGATTCAGTTCAGTAATTTTCAAGTGTCGAACCAGTTTTGTACAGCTCTCTTAAAAAACGAGTGCATTATTATCACGTTGCACCCAATAACATGTGGAAATTAACCTGACCGCTGCCTGGAGAAAGTGCTGCCTTTGCAATGACATCTGCAAATGGTTAGACTTTTCAGTCTTCTCGGATAAGGACGAAAATCAGTAGGTCCCGTCTCACGTCACTTTCACCGATTTGTTCTTGTGGGACGTAAAAGAACCGGCAGGACTTTGCCGCGGGTGACGGGTGACGGGTGGCGGGTGGCGGGTAGCGGGTAGACGGGTGGCGGGTAGCGGTTAGCAGGTGACGGGAAGCGGGTGGCGGGTGGTGGGTCAGGCCTTAAAAAATAAAAATAAAAATAAGAAGGGGAAACCAAAAAAAGAAAAACGATAATAAAAATTACAAAAAAAGCGATATTTTAGCAATATTCTTCTACACGATATCGCATGCACGAGATAGCTTGAGGAGCTCATAAAAATTAATAATAATAGTAATATTTAGTAATATCCTGCGACCAGACAAGTAAGATCGCATTCTCTTCTCGACATGTTTGAACAGTGTCTCAGATTTTTGACAAGTGCGTTTGTTCTTTTGTTATAAGTTGGGATAAACATTGCATTGCCTGTGGGATAAATCTTTGCCGATTTGGTTCCCGACTTTTAGTTTAAAGTGAACAAAATGTCTACTTCGAGAAAACAAGGAAATTTTCCTAAGACTAAAGCAACAAAACTGTCAATGTTAATGCGTACCAGAGAAGGAGCAGCAACGTTTTTGACACAGCATGGACCGTTTTCGCCGCATGTGGCGTCTCGGACGCGAATTGATCTCGTTGTATATATATACAAAAAGGATCTGCATTTTTTTAAATACTACTTAAAAATACTGATTAGGATGGCAATCATGCCGCATACTAGGGCAAAAACTGAGCTACGACACGGAAGGCCCAATCTCTTGCAGTCTGTTATAAACACGGCTAAACAGTTGGGGAAGTGCAATCATCTTTCGTCTTAATGTGGAAGAAAAAGCAAACAAGACAAACAAGATCGACACGTGCCATGTGTCTTGCTTGACATAGCCCATTTTCATTTCACACACCGCGTGTAGCCTGACGAAACGTCACTTGCGGTGCGGAGCTAAGAGAGGTGACTGTTTTCACAGGCATGATTTCTCGTTTTTTTTTTTTCCATTTTTAGTCCGCGTAAGTAGATAAGACAAAACAAGACAATACTTTTATTTGGAGTCTGGTAGCTAGTACATAAACGTTGAAATTATTTTCAAATTACAACATACAGTTATATCAATATCAATTATACTATAACGAGTTATAATATTTTATTTTCATATATATTTTTAACCCACCACCCGTCACCCGCTACCCCTCACCCGCCACCTGCCACCCGCTACCCGTCACCCGCCACCCGCCACCCGCGGAAAAGTCCTGCCGTCCGACATCACTATTCGAAAAGAGTAGGGGTTGTACACCACGGTGTTGTGGTCAGCCTTTACTGGTTGTGGGATCATTGGGTATTATGACACCTCGCATAGGACCTGAGCCCCGTTCGTGCATAATTGTTATCCCTCTGGGCAGGTCTGTGTCCAGAACAGCTGATAAAGCTGGTAAATAAAATTTATATTTTTCAGTATGACATAATCTTTCTGATCTTTCTTCCAATACTTTAGTAAAAAGTGATGTATATAGATATAATTTATACAAAATATATGATAGAACAGAAGAAAACATATAAATAAAAGGACTAATTAATACTTTTATTTTCATTTATTTTCCGTACAAAACAAAGTCAACAAAGGAAGAGAGAATTAGGCGAATTCAATAGAAAGCTCATAGAAAGCCCTCTGCAAACTAGTTCCCAGAGCCTTCGCTCGTCTATCTAGATCCCAGGCATTGCCGCGTATTTCGAAAATCTGAAGTCTCGTGATTTCAGAATTTATTTCACGTCATTTAATTTTCTTGTTTCAAACTGTGTGGGCTTCAATGGAGGAGGCGTTACCTCTCCTGCAAAAAACCAGCTGTAAATCTGGCCGGCAGTCAAGATGCTATATATCCGCTCGATACGTTCTTGCAGCCTTGTCCTGTTCGGGTTTTTGTGTGGTGTATCTTCTCCGAGTGAATTTGAGCGTGGCTCTGGTGGCCATGGTCAATTCTACCTACGCAGACGAACAGGCCTCTGGAAATAACCCGGAATGTCAGAGAAATTCTTCCACAGATTCAAAGCAAAAGGTTAGAAGGCAACGTGTGTAGTATAAAGTACATGTATGTTCAAGTTAATCGACCGTACTTTCACGTGCTTTGGCTGGAAAGAACAATATGTGCATGACCAGTTCGGGAGTATGCCAGTTTTGGAAGAAGCGATGACGTCATGATTCCATTGTTCTGCTAAAAACACGCAAAAATAGGAAAAAATAATCGCAAGAAACAAGGGAGCTTTTTTCAAAGCCTGTTCCAGGTCTTCTCGTTCAATATCCGGGACTTCCGAGCTCGCAGTACCGATGAAGAAGCCTTCTCCTTGCTTTTTGAATGTCAAGGAAAGTTTCCTGCCACATTTCGGTAGTTAAAAGCGACAGTTTTCAAATGGCCTTCGCCGCCGCCGCCGCCATCTTGACGGGTATCGAATGTAAGTACATGACTTTATGTTTAGTTTTCAGTATCTTGCCGAATTTTTACGAAGTCAAGACTAATTTTCCTCAAAACTACAACGTTTCAAGTGTGTTCAGGCAAAGTTTCATCGATGGCAACAACCTAGTAAAAATGGCAACCACACATTGAAAATTGCCAACGGACAGGAAGGGTTACTGATATTGATGGTTATGCCTTAGTCTGTCTATGTAGTTTTAGTTATAATCGATCAGGTCTGTTTTTGGTCGTGTTCACCGGCAATGTATACGACTCTCATCTAGAAATCACTTTATTGATCCAGATCATGTGTGTTGATTGAGTTTTAAATCAGTGTGAGTAGTTTCTTATATTGATTTCTTATATTTGGATCAGGATTTCCGTCAAAAATGTAGACAGACATCTGGAGATATTACAAACATGTTGTCGCGTTTGTGCCAAAAAGCTGGGAAAAGGAACCAGGATGACAAAATGCTAAATATCTTCAGAACGACATATTTGTGCTCTGAGGGCAAAATATTGCTTTAGGTTCGCCTTATGTTCCACTGTAATGAAAAATTTAATGTCCAAATTCAACCCTACCTCAATAAAATTAAATATGTTTTGTTTGTTTGTTTGTAGTGTGGTCACAGGTTTACCCACCACAAAAGCCCCTCCTTTGGCCCTTTCAAAAATGGGTAAGAGGGAAACAGGTTGGAGGGGGGGCTTATATACCTTGTGAGTGGAAGCTCACACTCAATGACCATTCAACCATAGAAGAGACTGTGGCCCTTATTCAAGGGGCTTTAAAGGAGATAGACGAGGAAGGAGTCATGGAAGTGGAGGCTTGTGAAGATTTTCTCTACATAATGTTCAATCCCTCGCGTCAAATATTGTTTATACTTTACAGATGCCAAATACATAATATGTTCAGTCCCTGTGCTGTGCAAAAGGTCAATCTGAAACATGAAAAATACCACACTCTCCCCCATCAATCCCTGTGCATGAGCAATAAGGCCACATTATTTTGATGTCATAATATCAAATATGTGTGTATTTGAATAAATCCTAAATTATTGAGATTCTCTTGATGAAAAAGCATCTATGTTAATGCATCGTCTTCTACAAATCATCCTCCCTAATAAATAATACATGAGAGACATCTCACAAGATAACTATTGAAAATCAATGTCAGCTGCTACTGTCTTCATTATATCAATTAAGTTTTGGTTTTTGGTTTTCATGTCCAAGAAGGTGTTAAAAAAACAAGATTTTGAGATAAAAGAGTGTGTATAATATGCGAGCCAGTGAGCCATGGCAGCGAGTGATGCAGGTCAGAATCAAAAACAGTAATACGGAAAGAATTAACTGTCAGCACCTAAAATAAAATGTTTATTTACAAAAAACAAAATGTAACAATAAATAACTTTTATTGTATCTTTACTCTGATGTGTGAGCTTTGTTTTCTTGAAAGTGCTGTTCAATAGAAACATGAAGAACCAGCTATGAAAAAGAACTTTGGAAAACTTATGTTGTGTCCATGCCAAGTGCATGTCATCATTATTATTTTGGGCCAAACCTTGTCTAATAGAATTGTTTGAGGGTCCCCACAGAGAAGACTTGGAGAAAAGTGCTCCTCAAAGTTACAATGCCTTTGGATTAAAGGCAACCCCAGAGTTAAAAAGAATAATTTAGTATTATTCGGATGTAACATCAAATCCCATACAAGAGGATATTTTATAACAAACCATAACCTTGTTGATCTCTGACCTCTGGTCAAATCCGGTGGACTACAAGACTATAGTATCCCATTTTAATCAATAGATCCAAAAGCATGTAACAAGCATAATTCTTAGTTTTCCAATATGTATATTAAATTCTTAAGAGCCTCTTGCATTTGTTAAGCTTGACCAAATAATCAGTGAACTTCAGAAAGTAGAATAATTGAAATCAATAGGTTTTTTTGAAGCGGGACAAAAAAAAATGATCAGGGATGATAAGTAAGATTTTCACTTTGTGGGGTTTTCAAGAAGAAAACGCGGGCACAATACCCTCAGAAATCCCTTGTAAACCTGTTATATACCTGGACGGAACCGCTTCAAGACATAAACCAACAGAACATCATATTTGAAAAAACAGATATTTTACTCACAAATGACTCGCTTGCACCAAAACAATAACCTGAATTACAGCCGTCTTCTCCGGCCAGTCGCTCACTGGCGGGAGAGAAACAGAAGCAACGGGAAAAATTACATTAACACTTACTGTGAAAGCAAACATAAGGAAAGGAATTATAGAACAACTCACTTTTTAGTTGTTTCCAAAGCATTCTTTTTTCCTTATGATAGAAAAAAATAATGAAATAAATAGGCACAAACTTGTTAGCGTGCTTACCTATTTTCGATGTACTGATTACATACGCAGTGAGTATGCAGTGCCTACTAAGCGCGCGATAAGCGAAGAACTATAGCGCAAGAATGGTTACTCCCTGTCCTCAAGGTACTTCCCAATTCATAGTAACGAAAAGACAAATAAAAGGCTCGATAAAACATGAATAAACGAGAATTTTGGTCAATACTCTTTCTTCTCCTCTCCCTTGTCCGCCATTTTGTATGTTTTGAAAATGACCATCGCCATGGTGATCATGTTATGGTTGGTGACGTAGACCATTGTTTTCGCTTCTTCCAAAACTGGCATACTCCCGAACTGATGACAGTCACATGCGTCATCAAAAAATACTGATGTGATTCGTTGTAAGCTTTATCGTCGTCGAATAAAGTAGTCCAAGATTGAAAATTTGCCGAGAATTTAAGTTGCGCTATGTCTATGTCAACATGTGTGGTTAATATTTGAGCGATTATCACGCTTGCTGTGTATATAAACACTGCATTGAATGATATCCTTTTCAAATCAGTATTGTTACATGTGTCCTTTGGAGACACCATGGGTTTGTCAACTTCTTTTGACGTCTAGATGGTTTGCCATGGGCCAAAATTACCATTATATTTAATTATACTACATGCACATTTATTATTAATATATTAGGTATTGTGGATTTATTCTAGTTGTTGTTTTTGTCTCGGTCTGTTATTACACCATTGTTTTGTAGTCCAGGCCCCACTTGCTCAAATGTTGGATAGCATTATCCACCGGATGTAAATCACTATGCAGTGGATATTATTAGAAACAGGGGAACTAATTGCACTATCGAAAGGATAGAGGCGATATTATCCAGCGGATAGCGTCATCTGCCAAATGGTGCCAGAGTAAAGAAACTTTTAAATGAGTCTGGAGAGATTCACTATTTTATTGATCATAATTATTACACTGTTGAATTAACAGTAATAAAAATTGTAATTTCACCAGTCTGTAAGAAAAAAATTCCATAAAGTGTAGGTCTTCAGAAGGTTATTGCAGTGGCAAACAGAATTGAATGGCTTTATAAACTTGTAGGAATGTATCTGCAGAAGCTAGAAGCTTGTGATAAAGTGGGACTCTACAGCACACTTCAAAATAATTTGCACTGACAACTTGTAGCTATAAGTTCGCAAGGTCTCATGGTTTATGGTTTATCCTTTTCAAATGCATGGTTTTTCCAACCCGTCTTTGAAAGTGCCAGTGTTAATGTCAATTTAACACTTGTTATCAGTGCAATGATTTGTTACTATTAATACTGTAAAGTATGATTGAAGATGGAAACCTGGAAACCTTTGTTCTTACCATTCAATTGCTTGCATGTGGGTTCTACAGTCGAACCTCCTGTGAGTAGCCACCCAAAAAGCGAGTGTTGGTGGTCGCTCAGAGCCGTCAACAAGTTTTTAAGAGCAAGCAGATAATGAATAGTAGGCAGCTTTGGAACTTGTACCAAAGGAACAAGTTCTTGAGGACTGAGGCATCTAGGGACATTTTGAAATTTAGAGTCTTGGAAATGGCATTTCCAGGGGTTTTTTTTTTCCACCATGGACGCCAGGATGTTGTTTCGTCAGAATATACGCAAGACTGGGAACATGCAATGCTATCAAAATATCTCAGGCATTCCACAACATCGCATGGTTCGAACGTGTTACACATCTAAACCTGTTTAAATATGTATTCAATGTCATTCAAAACTCCTGAAAATTTGGCTGTTTTTGATAAGTGGTTGCTTACTGAGTGTACTTGGGATGGGAGGTGGTTGCTTACGAGAGGTGGTCGCACATGGGGTTTTGTCTGTATTTACATGAATCACTAACTTTTGAGTCTTTTCGATCTATGGGACCATCCAAGTGAATGACCCTCTTTAGTAATGCTAATTTATTTAGTATTTAGTTCTAACCTTGAGTCCTTGGGTTATTCAACTATGCCAGTAAAAATTACCTATTTTTATCTGTACTTTCACTTGGTACTATTTATTAATGTTAGAATGTACAGAGTAGTTCTAACTTTTGAGTCTGTGGAAGAAATCCCATAGTGTTACAATTTAAAGGAAACTTTTCGATGGTGCTTTTCATTTCTTTGGATTTTTACAAAAAGAAATTTAGATTTTTTTTCTTAAGCGACAGACCTTATTGAGTGCAGGGCAGTATTTAGATGAGAGGTGAACTCCTTTTTCCTCTTAATCATTACAAATGTGTCCAAACATTTTAGATTCAGTCTTTTTGACTGTTTGATAATCAAAATTGTTTTGTAGGAGGGGGAGTTTAACTGGGATCAAAAAACACAAGGTAAACTGCATGCTAAATCTGTTTAATTATTTGCCTTTTGAATGAAGTTTTTGTTTCTGCATGATAACTGAGCACCTACTTTTAGTGGAGCTCTACATGTGCGCAAAAGGAGCCCTCAAGCTTAGAAAATTCTATTTGAGAAATTTTGGTAGTGCACCTGGTGGACATCCATCCGTCCACCCATTCGTTCACACCACAGGCCAACCAATGTGATATCTCACACTTTCTTAGCTAGTATGGCAGCCCATCACCTGATATTTGCACATCTGTGTTGGGGTGAATTGACAGCTGTCAAAACAGGGTAGTCACTGAACAGTATCATGACTGTTTCACTGGCTCAGGTGTCGACCCATCGAGGGTACATGTTGAAGTTTCCCGCTGATGAGTTATATTTACTAGTTTTCAACTGATTACAGGCTCAACTCCAAGTAGATTTCCTTGTAAAATAAATGGTTACACGTTTTTTGTTTGAAGTAAAAAAAAATTATTAATGGGAGCTTTGCCTTTATCCTTGGCTAATTCATTCTACAGGCCATCTGATATTACGCGATGGTGCGATTTCGCACAATTGACCTCAAATTGCATCTGATCGCACAATTTGAGGAAAATTGCATAATATTCCTTTACATTCAAATTGCCTGTTAAGTGGTTTTTCTTCTTTGAAACCTGGTAAAACAATGTAAATAAGCCCTAAAAAAATCGTGTAATTTATTGCATAATAGTCCTATCTTATCGCATGGAATCTACCCTGAAGATATCATACAATTTCTGATTTTTTATCGCACCCTATCAGATGGCCTGATTCTATGATCTTGTTAGTTAGCTTTGGGAGGTGATCATATAGTTCCTGTTCTTCAGTTTGAGATGTCCCACCAAATTAAGAGATGTTGAATGCTACTGCGTGGAGGCACCATCAGTTTGCTCTTCCTTTATTTCAATTTTTAGTTTTTAAAGTTTGATTCTTGTATTTTGGCTCTGTAGGTATTATTCTGGGTTCATTTTTCTATGGATATATCATCACTCAGTTACCTGGTGGATGGCTAGGAGCACGGTTTGGTGGAAAGTATTTATTTGGCCTTGGAGTGCTTTGCACTTCTGTGTTGACAATTTTCACTCCTCTTGCTGCACGTCATAGTGTTGGAATGTTAATTCTGGTGAGAATACTGGAAGGATTAGGAGAGGTAAAATACTTAGTTGTAAACTTTCTGTAGTGGATCCGTTTTAATCCTCTAATTAATCCCATACATTTGGACAACAACAAATACATTGTAAAATGCAAGTTAATTGAATGGTAAAAGTCATGACAAAAGGCAGCCCTTATAATTACATTTAGGCTATGTTTGTAATACACATAAATCAGTCACCTTAGTTTGCCAGCAGCATGGTAGCGAGTGGAATAGCTAAAAATATTAAAGTGGTTCCAGCTGTAAAAATCCCTTGGCAAGTAACCATTAGCAATCTTCTTTCAGATTATTTTTTATAAGTTAATTATTCCTACTCATGGAAAAAGGAACAGGTAATCCTTAATGATGAGAGTCTCGTGCCCTTAGTGACTCTCCTACTTACTCTCTTATTAAACCATTTTTGTGTTTATTTAGATCAAGGNTTATTTTTTATAAGTTAATTATTCCTACTCATGGAAAAAGGAACAGGTAATCCTTAATGATGAGAGTCTCGTGCCCTTAGTGACTCTCCTACTTACTCTCTTATTAAACCATTTTTGTGTTTATTTAGATCAAGGGAAACTTGGTCACATGTTACAGTTCACCATTTGAGTAAACATTAATGACACATCTGATCAATTCTAAAATTCACAAATCATTGTAAGCTAATCCCCAGTAGTAGCATTATTTGTTGTAGAATTTTATCTTTTGTACAGTTTGAATTTTGTTTCCCTTTGTTTTCAACTCATACATTACCATACCCCAAAACAAAGGAAAATAAAATTTCAACCAAGGGTAAAATTGAACAACAAGATATTCATGTACTTTTTCACCTTCAATCCTCTCTTATTTACAATGAAAACCAAACTCTTTTGTCGATTTTCTATCCGCATTAATTATTGCGGGTGAGGAGAGCAGTCCACAGTCCTTATCTCCAGGTTATTATGCATGTGCGGTAATTAATGGACTTGGACTAAGAATGAGTGGAATGCATTCTAATGCAATTTGATCTTGAAAGCATGTTTGGATCTTACTTTACTCTTATTCTGATCATTTGTGTTTTGATCTTCTACCATTTGAAACATATGCATAGCACAGTGTTGGAGCAAGAGTGGTTTGACCTTTGATAGATCTCGCCCACACTCCTAGTTTACAATCTGTGCAAGTACTCAGGCACTTAAATAGAACTACTCTGAAAGTTCTGTTGTAAGAATCTCCCTGACGTCATGTTGTTTCATGCAGGGTGTGACGTTCCCAGCTATGCATGCCATGTGGAGTAGTTGGGCCCCTCCATTAGAAAGGAGCAAACTGGTCACTTTATCTTATACAGGTACGTACTGCTATATGTACATTTTAAATCAAGTCCACCGTTAACTGCCACCTGGTAGCTCGGTTGGAAATCTACCAATCTGCTGAGAGGGTGGCCATGAGTTCAATTTCCAACTGGACCACCAACTTAACAAGGGTCTTGAAAAAATACTGTTAAGATCATGACCTTTACACTGTAAGTGTGAAAAAAACCTCATGTCAGTCTAGATGATCGTGTCTTTTGGCAGTGACGTTCTGCCATTGACCTTCTTCTCTATTTTGTTAGTACAAGAGTACTTGCTTATTTTTCTTGTTTATTTATCACAAAGGCCTTCAACTTGGCACCATCCTGGGTATGCCAATGGCAGGAGTTCTTTGTGGATCTGACTTGT